CCCCAAAACCCCAAAACCCCAAAACCCCTTGAGGATTAAGGAGGGTTGAGATGGGTGGGAGGAAATTTAGAGAAAAGAGAGGGTTGGAGGGCGATGAGGGGGTTTATTATGAAGGAAATAGGTTCTATGGGGCTGGAAGATGGTTCTGGTTTTTGGATGACTTGATTTTGAGATGTTTGAAGTGAGTTTGAAGGGTTATTGGTGTAGAGTCATTGCAGATTTTTGAAGTGTGTCTTCTATTAAGGTGCAAATTTGTAGAATCTGTTTTGATATTTTTGGGGCCATTTTTAATTTTCCTTTGTGAGAAGTTAGATTTTAATGAAATAATCTTTTTATATCTTTTCTTCGCCCTATATCTATTTGATGATTTCTTTTCTCTTAAGAAATCTCCTATCAATAATTCATTTGTTTTAGGTTTACAGATCAGACCCATTTTATTTTGAAATGATTCTTGGTAGAGCTGGTTCTTGTATAATCTAAATTTCAAAATTGAATCTTACCTTTTCTACTGGTTCTCAGTACAGTACCCACTTTCAGTAGGTAACTGAGGATCGCTCATCTGTTCGATTAATGAGTTAATATTATTCTGTAGCTTTCAGTACTTAGTTGGAGCTCCAAAAGTAAAAGCTTCCTTGTGCCTTTTCAACATTTGCTTTGATCTTGAATAAAGTTCTCTAGGCTTCAAAGTCTTCTCTTCACTTCAAGAAAAATTATTTACTTGAGTAGTAATCTAGTATCTTCTTGGAAGATTCTTCATTTCTTTCTCTTCTCTTTTTTGCTGTTTTGAGCTCCTTTGCGACTCAAATACTTGATCTAAGTTCTGCATCGATAGATTTAAGAATAAGAGTGGCCTGTCTTTTGAATGATTTCCTTAAGCATCTTTTTGGTACCTTCTTTTGACACTGAGCACGAGCTTCAATAGTTTTGTGTCTGATATCTTTAACTGCAGTTCTGTTATTCTTTGGGCTGGATAAAACATAACTCTCGAAGTCTTTGAGTTTGGAATCTTTCTTATTGGTTATCTCTCTTTTTCTTTCTATATTTTTGACAGATTTTGAACTGGCATATCTGTTGCTCTTCTCTATTGAGGTGAACGATTGATGCCTACTGTGAATTCTAATATCTTTGCCAGCAGTATATGAGCTCATCCTAGATTTCCTTGAAATCAAAGGATATTTTTGACTTTTAGAGATTTCACTGTCAAATATAGACTCTTTCTGCAAGCTGTTGTCTATCATTTTGTTCTATATAAATAAGATAGAGAGATTACCAAGAGCTCTTTATTGTACTTATTCTGAGAAAGTCTGGACAGTTGTGAGAAATGCTTGAGGTACTCTTTAAACTCTATTTTATTTATTCATTTCAGGATTTCTTTGTTGGATGTCAGCTAGAATATTTTATTAGAAGGTCTAATATGATATCAGATAGTTGAATCTCCACCAGAATCACTGAAAAATATCACACTTTAAAGACTATCAAATATACCTAAACAATAATGTGCCAATAGGCTACAGCGCATACCCTCACCATATACTTACATTCTCAAACCTTACGATCATGGCTACACTGAAGGCTCACTGCTATGTCATTCTCTCTTGCTAAAATGCTCATGGTATTGGTATAAAATTATTTTTCAAATTCTTAACGAATATCTGGGGTTTTGGGGTTTTGGGGTTTTGGGGTTTTGGGG